AAAAAAAAAAAAAAAAAAAAAAAAAAAAAAAAAAAAAAAAAAAAAAAAAAAAAAAAAAAAAAGGAAAATAAGACAAAAAGATTTCACTTATAAAGTAACATACGAGCACTCAAAATTACTTTTTTTTAAGAGAAAAATTTTCCTGCGACTTTTGAACATAAGCAAAGTGTGATATTTTGGTTATATTTCACAAGTACATTATCTGTCACAGCTGCCCAATGAAATAATAAATAACCTAAGTTCGTTTGGGACATCTGGGAAGGGAAAAATAGAAATAAACTAACAAAGTTCAAACATACCTGATGGATCGAAAGCCGCCGATGAAAAACTCAACAATATACTACAGAAAAGGTGGATGAAAAACAAAACTGCTAGCAGCGCTCTACTTCTCTTGGGTTTTGATGATGAAAATTTTATAATGCAATACCATCACCAAAAGCCATTAGTTGTCCAAGCACGGTTCTCACACGGAGCTGTAAAGGAGAAGAGACGAGGAGGTAAGATAATATAGAGGTGAAAGGGGAGAAGGGGGAAGTGGGACTTAAATGAGAAAATAGATGACCTTAACATCCAGGCACGGATCATTGACCATATTCTTCATTTGAGAAACAATACCAGCATTCTGTAGCTTTGTAACCCTATCTGGTGCACGTGGACTTGAAGGCAGAGAAAGATTTATTATTACCCAGACAGCAGCTATTCGAAGTTGACTGTTGTCACTCTGCAAAAACTTCACCACAAATGACTGGATCACGTCATCTCCTTGTGGAAATAGTTGTTTCATTAGCCTTTCCTTATGGAACTCATTTCCACTTGCAACATTACAAAGTACGTGCATTCCCTGCATCAGTCATGCTTTAATAATTGCATTCTGATATGGTTTACTTAATAGTTAATTGATATACTCAATACCATAACAACAGATTTTATAGTCGTATAAAATTCCTCAAGTATCATTGAAAATGAATCTGCAGAAACTTAATTGTTTAATAGCCAGACAACATGGACATTATCCATCAGATGAGCGAGAACACGTCATTTATGAAATCATGGTTTCTTTAAAATGCACTTCAACATTTCAGTCAAATATAAGCACCTAAAGAACTTCGCTTTTTTTATTCCTATCATCCTATCAAAGAAATCCACCATTATTCTCAGTCTTCCCATCAATATTGGCTCCCTTAATAAATTTTGGATTCTTCCTTCCACATTTAATATCAGCTTTCTTGATAAGAGTCAGGTAGACATGTAAAAGATAGGTATTCTAGACAAATGCCACAAAACAAAGTGAGGAAAGGTATTGAAACTCCTATGGAAGGAGAGAGTTCATCCTTTGGCAAGTTTTCCCAAGGTCATTTGCTCAACCAATTTCCAGATATTTTACATTTTTCGGTTTCTATCTATAGAGACAACCAAGTAAGATATAGATCACAGGCTTAAAGCATAAGCAATCATGTCATTTTCCTTATTCTTTCTTCAGTTAACGTGAAATTTTGAATTGTAACTGACAATTTTCCATTTGTATCTTTGTTTGCTCCTTTTTAAAGAAAAAACGAAAGGAAAATAATACTGTTGATGAAGGATATTACATACAAAAGAAAAAACCTCAACAGAATCATAGAGACCAGGTTAAGGGTCCTCATGACCTTAAAAATAGAAATACCTCTCTAGTTTGTTGGTATCTGTGTAAAATAGTAATGCAGAGTGTCAGACCTACTTATGAGATCTTTCAGGAGGGAAAACATAAACACTTCGGCGTAGCATGTTTAATCAATTTGTGTGTCTATTATGCATTTACGTAACCACCAACATGGTTGTTGTTAGCCAATTTTAAGCTGAGCTCAGAGTTTCCTAGTAACTAACACCACTTTGTAAAATCGGCCCTTTCTATAGACTGCTTTGCAACCATTTCTTAGCTTTTTCCTCTCCAAAATTGACCTTTTCTTTTGAGCATACATCACATTCAAAAGTTGAAAACAAAACAAAACTAACCTGGACCCCAATTTCATCCCTTGAAATGCTTTGCAATTGCCGGCAAATAGTATTCAATATGATACCATCTTCGGCAAACGCGTACTCAATTGAGTCCTCACATCCATCAATAAGATTGCGCACAAGGGCCATAGCATGCTCTTGTATGGAAGGCTCTGGATCTGAAACATAAACATACAAAGCAGTATTGATAAAACACAAGATGAAATCAACCATAAAGATGGACAACAGAGTTCAACAGTACCACAGACAAGGCTGGCTAACAAGGAAGCTGTTAACTCCATGAAGATCCCTGATTTATACATGTTGTTTGCAAGGAACATTAAATTCCTTAAAGCCCACAATGCATTTAGCCTTATGTCCAAGTCCATAGACTTTGATAATCGAACCAGCTCTTTAACACCTCCACATTCTATAAATATTGATCTCTTTGTTGAAAAATCGACAACTATGTTGCTAATAGCACCAAGAGCTGCAACCTGTTTAAATAGTATGAAATGATAATTATTGCGCAAAACCAAAAATAACTGAACAACCAAATAACCTCTTTCTACCTGAACAGCATTAGAAGGATTGTGTAAAAGCCGAACAACGGGAAGGACAACTGTTTCGTTCATAAAGTAACCTGCACTCAAATTCTGAGTATGATGCCATTAGAAAACAGGGGAAGGGAAAGACTATGAATATCAGAATAGCTAATATTAATATAGCATTACATACCTTGATTGATCTAGAGACACTTCTCAAGCAAGTGCAAGCTGCAATACGTATGTCACTACTTTCATGTTGTAGGGCATCAATCACTATGTTCATTACCTATGTCATGATTATAAGCAAATTAATAAAAATTCATAAACCTAAGCAAGTTAAATTCCAACAAAATTCAGATTTGTTAACCTCCATCAGTTAGTAGCTTTGTTAAATATCAAAAGGTAAAATAAAGAGAAAATTTTGAGAACCCGCCACAATAATTGTTACCACCACAAATGTGTTACTTCTACTTCCTCCTTTTCTTTTTTTCCTTTGATTCAATTGGAATGGACCAGCAGATATAGTTTAACTATTTTTTCCTTGGAAAGTTTTGAGGACTTAAAAACAGATGACAGACACATTTGCCAAACAGATACCTTTTTAAAAATCTTTAATAATAAAGATAACTATCAACTTAGGGCAGAAATAACCATAGACAAAAATTCAAATAGACAAACAAACGATTTTAGACATCAATTTAGGTACCTAGCCAATTTGACTTAGTGAAAAACATGACTAACCTCTGGACTAGGAAAACTGCACAAGTTAAAATGCATTGTAATTGATAAATGTTCCAAAAAAAACCAATAAGTTGACTTAACAAAAAAGTTGATGCAATCAGAATAAGAAATAAACCTGCAAAGAGAGAAATCTAGACCTACAGCTCTCCAACTTTGAGCATAGATGAGAAAAGGCCAACAATATTCCTTGGAAACGTCTAGGACTCAACTGATCCTTTTGCAAGTGATTGTACAACGTATCAATTGCATTTGCCTCAAAAGCTAGTTTCTGTAGCTCCTCCTTCTCAGCAATTAAAGTCGAAAAAACAAAGGAAGCTTCATCTCCAACTTGACCTGGATTATCAAGAAGCTCAAGCAAACTATGTATCAATTTCATTTTGATTCCTATATCTTGCAGATAACAAGGTGATGAATTCCTTATAACAATCAAGCAGACGCAAGCTAGCAATCTTGTCTTGGGATTTCTATCCTTCATCAATTCAATTATATAACTCAAACAATCTTCTCTACCAGGTTGCATGAACTTTGCTATGGCTTCGACATTATTTTTAAATATTGTGGCAATAGACTCTAAACTAGCATCCCTTTGACTTAGAGAACCATCAAGAAGATCAATCAGCTTCTCTAGAACTCCACCATTATACAATGCCTTCTGCTCTGCAATTGTGTCACAGGAATGAACAATGATGCTTGCCCCAAGTCCAGTCACATTTTCATTTTGACTATTCAATAATGAAAGAAGAAATTTAGTGTTTTCCTGCTGAAGGAAATCATACTTGGGAGCCAACTTTGATTGATAAACCATTCTTAATGAACGAGCTCCTGCGTCCACAACCTTAAAAACAGAACAATTTATATATACCCATCAAAGTTCACATTAGGATTGAAAAGAAAGTTGAAAAAATTGCATACGGAAAATAAAGAAGACAAAAGCAAAAGGTTGTGGACGCAGGTACATAACAAATTCTTGTAAAAAAACTAAGGCGTGGTGTATAAAAAGGAAGGTCAAATTGGATGTACAGTTATTGAAAGGAAGAACTCCATTATTGCTTAAATTTGTTTTTCCTTTCAAAAGATGTAGCCATTGTTGTTAGATAAAACTTGAATTTTTCCTTATTTAGATTCACACGATTAGTTGATTGAATACCTCCGTTTGACCATTTGACAAATACTTCGAATGGAATACTAAAGTTTTAGATGGCAATTTTGTAGGAAGTGCCAACACTCCAGCCATTTTTAGAATAAGTTATATTTAAAAAGGTAAATTTGTTCGGATGATTAATACACCTGATTTTAAGCATTCAGCAATTCTCTCTCTTTGTTATTTTATGCGTTTTATTTTCTTCCAACAACTTACCGTCAACGATTTCCTCTCACCGAAAAGAAAAAGATTTCCTTGGCCGATTATTGATCTCTCTTTGTTATTTTATGGGTTTTATTTTCTTCCAACAACTTACCGTCAACGATTTCCTCTCACCGAAAAGAAAAGGATTTCCTTGGCCGATTATTGAAAAACAAGTGGTATCAGAGCCAAGTTGAAGTCATCGGTGGTATATCATTTCGGAGGAGCCAATCTTAGTCCATAGTCAAGTTGAATAGCTTAAGTGGTTAGAGCGTTGACCTAACAATGCACAGGTCTTAGGTTTGAGTAGAAGAAAATGCAAAGCATGAAAATACACACATCGTGGGATCCATCCCGAGCAGGCTCGCTCACTCATACTTCTCTACGTCGACCCCGTGATGATGGGTGTCGAGTTGTCCTTGAGCGGGAGTGGTTAGGGAAAGCGAAGGCGGATCAAAAGAAGGAGTACCAGCTGGGGAGCCACATCAGGGGAGATACACCTGATTTTTTAAGCCTTCAGCAATTCTTTGTTATTTTACTTTTTATTTTCTTCCAACAACTTACGGTCAACAATTTTCTCTCACGGAAAATAAAAAGAGTACTTAAGGAATATGCTAACTGATCCAAAAAAGACGATTATAAGTAGAAAAAGGAGATATTATCCAGTTCCAAGGAGACTTTCTTCTTCACTTTTAACAGAACATTTCTTGTAGTTCGAAGAGGTCATAATAGAGAAGATTAGAAGAAGGGTCGACGCCACAGAAATGCAATTCCCAAACTGGAGCAAAACGGATAGAAAGAACAAGAGAATAGGGGAGAGGAGAAGCACCTTGGGATCGGGATCAGCAAGCAATCGAAGCAGTCGAGGGAAGGCTCCGGCATCGAGAACGGCGGAGACACCGGCGTCGACGCCGCAGGCAAAGCTACCGAGAACAGCAGCGGACTGGACGAGAATGTTGGGGTCAGAAGTGGAGGAGAGAATTGCAGCAACGTGGGGGACAACGCCGAGCTTGACGAAGGACAGCTTCTTGGTGCGGTTACCGATGATCTGGTTCTTGATGTCTCTCAATGCCTTCAGCTTCACGGCGGCATCGGCGGCAGTCAATCGGCTGACGAGCTCGGAGGAGGGCTTTGGAATCGCAGAAGAAGCTGAGGTCGGCATCGTCCCAGTACAGCTACTGGGATGGGAATGGCATCGAAGCCACAGCAGAGAGAACCCCTCGGAGCTTTGAAAGCTACAAGACAGCCTCCAATGGAGTTCTGAGGAGAACGGGATTTTCTTTTTCTTCCAATAATTAGAAATATCTCATTTTTTTTTCATTATAAAATTTTATATTTATTTTTCAAGAGATCAAAATTTTTGTGATTTTTTTTTTTCCAAAAAATAATGTATAACTTTTATTAAATATTATAAAACATTCTAATAAATCCAATAATATTTATAGATAAAAATATAATATAATGTTCCGTTAATATTGTGCCTTAATTTTTATATATATACACGTATATTTATATTTATATATAAAAAGTGAGGTAGGACAAGAATTTAGTGGGGGCAGTGATGGAGACAAGAACTGGAAATATAATACTGTCCTCTTTTAGTTAACGAGGAGAAATCACTCTCTACTCTCTTATTCATTCACCGTTTAAATGAAAATTTTCTATCTCGTTCAAGGTGTGTTACTGTAGAACCCCAATCTCGTTGATTAAATGGACATTTTCACTCCTTGCCCTCGTCCTCATTCACCTTTTAAATGAAAACTCTCTATCTCGTTCAAGGTGTGTTACTGTAGGACCCTAGTGTTGTTGATTAAATAGACATTTCACTCCCTGCCCTTGTCCTCATTCACCGTTTAAACGAAGATTATCGGCCTCGTTCAAGGTGGGTTACGGTAGGATCTTGGTCTCGTTAGTTAAATGGACATTTCACTCCCTACTCTCTTCCCCATTTACTGTTTAAATGAAAATTCTCTGCCCTCTTCAAGGTGGGTTACGACAGGATCATGCTCTTGCTGGTTAAATGAACATTGTTCAAAATGAACACCGACAACAATCCATCCATTTTTTTTATTAGTTTGAGAATTCAACATTTCGACCCAAAGAAATCACTATTTAGTTAATCTTTGTCCCTGTTTAGTTAACGAGAATAAATGACTCCCTACTCTCTTCCTCATTCACCGTTTAAATGAAAACTCTCTATCTCGTTCAAGGTGTGTTACTGTAGGACCCTATAGTCTTACTGATTAAATGGGCATTTCACTCCTTGTCCTCGTCCTCATTCACCATTCAAACGAAGATTCTCTGCCTCGTTCAAGGTGGGTTACGATAGGATCCTAATCTCACGGGTTAAATGGACATTTCACTCCCTGCTCTTTTCCCCATTTACCGCTTGAATGAAAATTCCCTGCCCCGTTCAAAGTGGATTACGATAGGACCATGCTCTTGCGAGTTAAATAGACATTTCAGTTCAAAACTAAACAACAACCATACATTGGTTGTTAATACCATTTTTTTTTTTTTTTTGTTTTGTCATATTAAAAGACAAGTAACCGGGTTTGTGAAGGATGAATGGGCGAATGGAAGAGCAATAGCATGCCATTCAAACCTCCAAAACTCTGGATTTCAAGCGCTCAACTATCCCAAATCCACGCCCAACTCCTCACAAATCCAAAGCCCAACGTTTTCAACCCTTTGCTCGGTGCTTTGTTGGACTCCGTCGCCCCTGAAAATGGCCTCTTCCTTTACAACCAAATGCTTCGCCACCCATCTTCCCATAACCACTATACCTTCACTTACGCCCTCAAAGCCTGTTTTCTTCTCCATGAAACCCACAAGGGCCTCGAAATCCATGCCCGTCTCATCAAATCAGGTCACCTTTCTGACATCTTCATCCAAAATTCTTTGCTCCATTTCTACATTGTCGATGGCGATGTTTCTTCTGCTTCTCGAGTCTTTGATTCCATCCCTGACCCAGATGTGGTTTCGTGGACTTCGATCATTTCGGGGCTTTCCAAGCTGGGTTTTAAAGAGGAAGCTCTGGGTAAGTTCTTGTCCATGAATGTGAGCCCTAATTCTGCTACTCTTGTTAGTGCTTTATCTGCTTGTTCTACTCTAAGGTGTCTTAAGATTGGAAAAGCCATACATGGGCTAAAATTGCGGAGTTTGAATGAGGAAAGTGTTAATTTGGACAATGCCCTTCTGGATTTTTACGTTAGATGTGGGTCTTTGAGGGGTGCACAGAACCTGTTCGACGAAATGCCTCGAAGAGATGTAGTGTCTTGGACTACGTTAATCGGAGGTTATGCACTGACAGGATTATGTGAAGAGGCTGTGAGGGTATTCCAAAACATGGTTCATGCGAGAGAGGCCATACCCAATGAGGCCACTCTAATCAATGTACTATCTGCATGTTCTTCCATGTCTGCTCTGCATTTTGGACAATGGGTACATTCCTATGTCAACTCTAGGCACGACATGATAATTGATGGAAACATTGGAAATGCTTTGATTAACATGTATGTCAAATGTGGCAGCATGGAAAAGGCAATTTCAATCTTCAAAACTGTTGAACACAAGGATATCATATCATGGAGCACAATCATAAGTGGGTTAGCCATGAATGGCCAAGGCAAGCAAGCTTTTGGTCTCTTTTCACTCATGCTAGTTCATGGCATTACTCCAGATGCCATAACATTTCTCAGCTTGTTATCTGCATGCAGCCATGGTGGGTTGATCAATCAAGGCTTGATGGTGTTTGAAGCCATGAAAGACGTTTACAATGTTGCACCTGAGATGAGGGATTATGCTTGCATGGTGGACATGTATGGGAAGGCTGGGCTTTTAGATGAAGCAGAGGCGTTCATAAAGGAGATGCCTGTGGAAGCAGAGGGGCCAGTTTGGGGAGCGCTGCTTCATGCTTGTCAACTCCATGGGAACGAGAGGTATGAGAAAGTTAGGCAATGGCTGCTTAGCAGCAAGAGCATTACAGTGGGAACTTATGCTTTGTTATCGAATACTTATGCTAGTTGTCATAGATGGAATGATGCTAATGAAGTTCGAGACGCCATGAGAAGTAGAGGACTGAAGAAAATGGCTGGTTGTAGCTGGATTGAATTGGCTGATCCCTTGAATCCATTGGGTTGAATGTGGGAGAGTCAAGAAAAATGGGGTAAGATGTTGAAAAGTTCATGCTTTTTGGTTAAGTGTTGCATATTTCATCGTGCATAGAGTTTGTTGGATGATAAAAGTCCCACTTCGGCTAATTTAAGGAATGATCATGAGTTTATAATTAAATAAGCCCAAAACAAACCCATGAGAACTTATGCTCAAAGGGACAGTATCATACCATTGTGGAGAGTCGTGTTCGTCTAATAGAGTTGATATCATATTTATACGCTCGTGTATACCATTTATATTTACAATTTATTGTTACTTCATATTTTTATCTTTATTTTAATAAAAATGACGAAGAAATGATTGCTTTGAAATAATGTTAATGTTTTAAGGGTAAAAATGAAAAATTTTCATATATAGTTTGAATAATGTAACATGATTTCACAATTGTATGTAGTAGAATGGCTGGATATTTAGATGGAAAATTACATATATTTTTAAAATGATTTTATATAAATATTTCAAAAGAATGTGTGATAATAAAAATATCAATACATTCCCATCCAAAGAAACCAAACAAGATCATTTTACCCTAAAGTGAACTATTTCTTAACTATAGTTCGTGTTTCGTCAATAAAATTCATTAAAATTACGAGGATATAAATATTTAAAATTTTATTGATTAAAATGAAGCAAAATTCATTATCGAAAAATAATATGGTATTTTATTAAAGGCTAAATTAATAAAAATAACATTGAAATTCCTATTTTATTTAAAAAAATACTCCAAAACTTTTAAAAAATTCCTGGGTAATCTTAAAAAATAAAAATTAAAAAAAATTAAAAAAAAAACTTTTACACTATAAAAAAACATATTTATCTTTATCATTAATATTTTATTTCAAAAATACCTTACATTTTCAAATAGTTTCAAAAATAATTTTTTTATAATGGTAAAATGGGTTAATATACTTCTTAAAATCTTTTAATATTTTAAAACTTTTATAAAAAATCTGAAGGGTATTAATGAAAATTTTAAAAGTTTAAGGATATTTTTGTAACACTATTCAAAATTCAAGAATATTTTTAAAACAAAGTATTCACGATTTCCATTTAAAATTAATAAACCGATTATTTAAATTGATTCAAAAGTTTAAGAGTATTATTGAAATTTTCGGATATATCTTAAATTATTTCTTTGGGATTTTTCTTCTAGATAAATTGTTAAATATATGCTATATTTAAAAAGAATATTTATACTTCTTTCCACATACACGGATACGGAAATATGAAATTTAAACTCATGTGACAAGCCAGAAACCTGAAAGAATCGCTAACGAAATCCCACATCTAGAAAGAAGCCTGCTTACTCTGAAATTGAGACAAAAATAGATGGAAGAAATTGTGATGCTGGGATCGTGGGTGGAGACGGGCGAGTAGGTAAATTAACGCCTACTCTCAAAATAAGTTTTTCAGGGGTAGAATTATTTTTAGCACAATTTCAGGTGAAATATCAATTTCAATAACTTAAACTCAAAGTCACTTTTCAAATTAAGAATATCTATAAAAATTTATAATTATACTCTAGAATTCATCCATCAATCACTCATTTATGACTCTTTTCCGGAACAAAATATTAAAAATTTGTACTTTTAAAGGAATCATTTTAGAAATGTTTTTCTTTTGTAAATTGCGTTTTCACAAAGAAATTTAGTCATGGTTATCAGTGCAAGAAAATCACTCAACCACAAAAGGAAGTCATCCATAACATGACATGGGATTTTTCTAGTAAAATTTCCCCCCCTTTTTTTTTTTATCTAATTTAATAATTTTTTTAGTGGGAAAGATCGGATTTCAGTGTCAGCATTGAAGAGCCTGAGTTTATCCTTTTCGTCGATTGCTCTAGCGTGATGTTTCCACTGCATCCCCTCGTTTTAATTGTTGTTAATTATTAATGGTAAGAGTTTTAATGGACAGCTGAACGTTCCATGTGGAGCAAGCGCGAGCAGACGGATATGTTCTTAGTGTTTCATTTCAGGTTTGATTGTTATTGATTTTGGGCTCGTGGGTATTGGGGTGTTCTTCTTGTTGTTTCATTTTGATCATTGAATTGCTTTCTCAGCTGCTCTTGGTTCTGAGAATTTGATCGTGTTCTAAGCTCCGGCGAGTTTTT